TAGGTCAATTCTCAGATCCCAACACCATGTGGAAATATTCAGGCTGTTGGTGCTATCAGAATAGCTGACAGTCTGCAGCTCCGTCTGTCTCCGTACTCACTGTTTTCATTTAGGTTCTTCCACTAGTTGGTGCCTAATCTACTTCTGCATACTTGCTTTCAGAGCTCAGGGTTCCAGGATTATCTTCTGTATCTCTGTCAATTGGTTTCTCTTTGCTTTGTCGAAGAGGGTGTGTGTAGCTTGTCTGCCTTTTCCGCCATCTTACTGAAGTCTGGTAATATGTTTTTTAATTTTATACTAGGAGAAAAATAACTCATTTGGAATCTATTCCAGTGGCTCAAGTGGAGCAGCATGAGAAGAATGCCAATGGCAGCCAGAACAAACCAAACTTCCTGCTGTTGAGGTGGATCTGACTCATAGTGACCCCTCCTTGGGTTTCCAAGGCAGTATCTCTACAGAAGTAGATTGCCCAGTCTTTCTTCTGAGGAATGTCTGTTGGGTTTGAACTGCCAGCCTTCTGGTTAGCAGTGAAATGCCTTAGGCATTGTGCTACCAGAGCTACAAGATGGAAACTATCTTGGCTGAACTATCATTCTGTTAGCTGAAAACAGCTATAAACGTTTGATTTTTCAAATTTTACACATGGTTTATCCTTTGAATTATGCAAAATTCAGGTACTTAATAATACACCTGTAAAGGAGCTCTGGTGGCGCTGTGGTTAAGGCATTGGGCTGCTAACCAAAAGGTAGGCAGTTCGAACCCACCAGTTGCTCCATGGGAGGACAATGAGGCAACCTACTTCCATAAAGAGTTATAGCCTTGGAAACACAGTGGGGGATGCTATGAGTCTGAATTGACTCAATGGCAATGGGTTTCGTTTGGTTTTAATAATACACCTACTGGTACCATGTTCCTTCTTTGGCATAACACAGGATACCTACAGGGACCATGCTTCATGCCTGGTTAGCTCCGTTTATGCCAGGGCTTGAGGCAGTTCATTCTGGTTTGACTCCCTGCTGAGAATTTGCATTTCTATCCCAGATATACTGGATCAGAATCTATATTTTATTTTTTTAAAATTTTATTTTGATTTGGGTGAAGATTTACAGAGTAAATTCACTTTTCATACAGCAGTTCACATATATTTTGTCTCATGTCATTGACCAAAATTTACAATGCAACAGCTCCCCTCCCACTTCCTCCCCATAGTTACCTC